AGGGGATGGAGAGAGATAGGGGAGGGTGTTATTTTAGCTAGGGTGGTCAGAGAAGGCTTCTGGGAGGAGGTGACATTTAAGCAGAGCCCTGAATGAAGGGAAGGAAGCAGAATTAAAGATACTTAGAGGAAGAGCAGAGCAGAGTCCCGCACCCCCAATACAGAACCATGGATGCTTTTCTGTCTCTGTGTTCCAAGGCCCCGGGTCTTTGCTCACTCTGCTGCCTCTGTTCCTCCCACCAAGTGCTGGTCGCCTTTCATCCTTGAGCGGGCTTGGGACCAGAGCTGGAGCGAAGTTCCACGGCTGAGTCACCCCTTGGTCCCCAGCTTCAGTGGCTGCTTCCTCAGCGGGTCATCCTCGTCCACCCAGGCTGCATCAGGTGCCTCTACGGTGACCCCACAATCCCCTGAGCATATTCCAAGCACAGGGAATGGCAAGTGCCAGGGTCCTGTGACAGAAATAAAGATGCGTGGCTCAAGGAACAGAGATGGCCAAACGGTCTGAATGACGGAGTGAGGGGTCCACATTGAAACTGAGAAGTTGGACAGTGGTCATCAGATCAGAGAGCATTACAGGTCAGAGCAGGGGAAGGGAGCATTTTTCCAAATGCAGTAGGAGAAGCTTTTGGAGACATTTAAAAAATTTTTTTTTATGCCTTTATTTTGAGAGACAGAGACAGAGAGCAAACAGAGGAGGGGCAGAAAGGGGGAGAGACACAGAATCTGAAGCAGGCTCCAGGCTCTGAGCTGTCAGCACAGACCCCGACGCGGGGCTCGAACCTATGGACTATGAGATCATGACCTGAGCTGAAGTCGGACACTTAACCGACTGAGCCACCCAGGCGCCCCTATTGGAAGCTTTTAAGCGGGGAGATGACGGGACTTAACAGTTTCTGGAGATCACTCTGGCCACTGCTGCAGTGGTCCAGCCGGGCAAGGACGACGGTCTGGGCTGAGTGGTGGCAGCCTTCCTGGCTTCTCCCTCCGGGTCTACCTGACAGTAGCTCCCCCTGGACAGTCCCACCACGTCCCAGACACCCCTCGTTCCTCTCCATCTGCCTTCCTTATTGCACCACAGCGCAAAGGACTTGCACTAGAAACTGGACCGAATGGGCACCACTCATTCATGTCAAGGAAGGACTTTGAAGAGATAGTGGCTTTCTCTGGGGAAGGGGGTGGTGTCTTTGTCATGTTTGTTTGCCCAGCATCTGTGCCCACCCTTTTCCTTTGGGGACCCACTTCCCTCCTCCCCCACCCTGAGTTCACGTGCTTGGGTACGACTGATGTATCCCCCAGCTCAAGAGGTGGCCAGGGGACCCAGCCCTGGGAGTCAGTCCATTCCATCCTCTCGAAGCCACGCTGGTCGATTAGGAGACGGGCTTGCAATCTAGGCTGGCTCAGTGTCACTCCGTCCCAGGACGGCGACAGAAGCTTTGGGGACAAGAATCTCACTTTACAGTGTGGTTGCCAATTTGGTAGGATGTTAGCCTGAAGCTGCTGGAAGCCTTTTTTCACTCCCTCATTAACAATAGAAACAGTCAGAAGGTAAAGCTTGGGCAGAGAAAAGCAGAGAGGTGGAGAGAGGGAGTCCTGATGCCGTCCTTTGAACGCCTGGATCCAGCTGTGCCTGAAGCAAGAAACCTAGACATTTTTATGAATCAATTCTCTTTTATGCCTAAGTCAATTTAGATGTCTGTCAATTTTCTTAGGAGGTTGTAAAAGCTCTGAGTATTTCAGAAGAGGCTGTGTGGCCTTTCTTTGGATATTTGCTACGCAAAGGATGGGAGGGGGCCCATCAGCAATACCTGAGAGTTTCTTGGAAATGCAGAGTCTGGCCTCACCCCAGGCCTTTGGAATCCGCACCTGCATTTTGACAGGGTCTCCTAGGTGATTTGCATACACATTGCAGTCGGAGAAACAAGTCCCGAAAACAGTCCAAACATCAGTAGAACCAGATGACCTTTAAGAGTCTTCCCAGTCCTGGGCCCTCTGACCTGCTTCCGTCTTCCCTCTGAGCTGCTGAGAGAGGAAGCACCCCTGTGTAGGGGTGGCGGGTGGGGGTGGGGGGTGGAAGGGAAATCACTGTGGCTGCATTTGACAGGTGACGTTCACATTTTGGATTTTCTTTTCTTCTGTTTGGGCTTTAAGTGCTTATGGCTTAGGGATGCAGGGCCAGGCAGGGCGTGGAAAGGAGAAAGAAATGATGAGAGCGGCTGGGACACAGCCCTGGGAGGGAAGTGGCTTCCTTAACGGAACCCTCTGTCTGCTTTCCCGAGGGAAAAACACATTCTTTGCTGTGAGGTCCATAACAAAATCCCTGCCGTTGTTTTTTGGGGAAGCAGTGGAAGGAGAGAGGGGCCTTCCCCCATTGAATTCAGAGATGGGGAGGGTTGGGGAAGGGGGAGGGGAGGCTGGCCATCTCTTCTGGGTTTGGCAGGCAGTAGGAGCTCAGAAACATTTGCCAAGAGTCACAACAATTAAATGCCACGTGTGACCCTGGGTCAGACAGGAATTGCCGTAAAGGGCATCATGGCGGAAACCGGATGCGGACTGTAGATTAGGTGATAGTATTGCAACGGTGTGAAATTTCTTGAATTTGATAAAGATAGTGTGATTATGTAAGGGCATGCCCTTTTCCAGAGGAGACGTGATCATGTTTATAGACAAATAGGGTCCAGGGGCACCTGGGGGGCTCAGTCGGTTGGATGTCCGACTTTGGCTCAGGTCATGATCTCGCAGTCCATGGGTTCGAGCCCCGCGTCGGGCTCTGTGCTGACAGCTCAGAGCCTGGAGCCTGTTTCAGATTCTGTGTCTCCCTCTCTCTCCATCCCTCCCCTGCTCATCCTCTGTCTCTTTTTCAAAAATATAAATGTTAAAAAAAAAAAGACAAATAGGGTTCAAATGTCCACAATTCACTCTCAAACGGCCTAGCAAAATCCTTATATGATTATGATTATGATTATGATGTGTGCATGAGGGAGAAAGAGAAAAATGAAGGGAGGCTGTATTAGACGCTCTACCTAAGCTAAAACTACATTTCCCAGAATCCTCTTCCATGTATGGTTCTGAGTGAGAATTGGCCCAAAGCGGTATTCAGCCAGGATTTAGAGGGCAGGAGTGAAGCGGGGGCGTCACTCCCTGAAGGCCTCCAGGGTCAGAGGCAGTGAGATCTGGGTGCTCACGGAAGAGCTGAGGGGTCTGGCGTATACTTGCGGCCCCCTGGCCTGGGCCCGGCTGACTGGGCTCCAGGTTGCCCATCACACACCCAAAACCGGAGTCCGTGGAGGCACTGGCCTTCCCCAGGGCAGTACCTTGCTTCCAGGTTCCAGTGCAGAAGGCAGACGCAGCCCCCCCTCCCCCCCAATTAATGAGCAGCAAAGACGTCTCAATAAAGGTACTAAAATACGAGGCATTTCCCTCCTCCCCCCATGGTTTTTCTCTTGACCATCATGGTGTTTTATTTTTTTATCAAAACAATTTTTTTGGGTTTTACTTAATTTTGAGACAGAGAGACAGAGCACTAGTGGGGGAGGGGCAGAGAGCGAGGGAGACACAGAATCTGAAACAGGCTCCAGGCTCTGAGCTGTCAGCACAGAGCCCGACACGGGTCTCGAACCCATGAACCGTGAGATCATGACTTGAGCCGAAGTTGGGTGCTTAACTGACTGAGCCACCCAGGTGCTCCCATCATGGTGTTTTAGAATTTGCTATTTATTTTTTTAAATTTATTTCTGAGAGAGACAGAGAGAGAGAGAGAGAGACCGCGTGAGCAGGGGAGGGTCAGAGAGAGAGGGAGACACAGAATCTGAAACAGGCTCCAGGCTCTGAGCTGTCAGCACAGAGCCCGATGCAGAGCTTGAACCCACGAACCGTGGGATCATGACCTGAGCCGAAGTCAGACGCTTAACTGACTGAGCCACCCAGGCGCCCCTAGAATTTGCTATTTAATGTCCTTCTAAGTAAAGGAAAATCTAAAACCTGAATCCTCAGCAGACATTTTATTGTTCATCTTCATACTCTGCAAATGCCAAGAGGAGCGCTTTCAACTCGGGTGTGAATTACACGATACGCATTTCAGAACTTGGACGTGCGCGTGCCATTTCATCCTTTCCAGAACAGGAGAAACTCACACAAAACTGAGGTGTTTCCATTCCGCTTCTTGAGATGTGCGCATGCGGCCAGGGCTCCCCACTTCCGCTCACTGATGATCAGGGAAAGCACGGGGTGCTGTATCTTCCCCTTCCCTTCATTTTCAGGGTAAGTGGTCATCCTGTGTGTATGTGTTCCAATGAATGAGGCACCCAAAGAATTGAAGGTCTGCCACTGTTTATCATAGAACCTTTATTATTTTTCCTCTAAATTCTTAGAAACGTACATAACGCCCGTGCTGTGGTTATGACACCATTTATAGACATTTAAAATGCATCTTCATTTATAAATATTTTACATTTGGTCCATAGAACAGATAATTTTTCTAAATAATACTGTAATTTTTTTAAAACAGGCTCTGTATATAGTTTGAATATGTATATATTACATATATTTTTTTATATAGAGATAAATTTACTTGATGTTCTGAGAATAAATCCTTATTGCAAAAAAAAAAGCATATATGATAATACAATATCTTTTCCCCCAGGGCAAATACTAAAAAAAGATACACGTATTCACAGCTCTCACAGAAATTGTACGACACGGAATATTGTGCTATATTAAGTAGGTTTGGATGGAAATCAGTTAGGGGGTTTCTCCATTAGATTTGCTTACAAACATGAAGTACACGGCATTTGTCATAGAAAGATTCAGCTTCAGTGTCACGCTGAAGAACGAAGAGAAGGTCGGAAGTCTTTCTGCCCTTATGCTAAAGGAATTCACACAGGATGGGGAGGTGGGACCACGGGACACAGTGAAGGGTCCCTTTCCCCCTAAGCCCTATAATTTAACAACACAGAAGCATCTGGGTCATGGATCCACCGGCCGGCATCTGCGGTGCCTTAGCAATGAGGCTATTCTACAGATGATCTCAGGAGAAGGTGTGAGATTCCCTACACGTCACCAAATGAGACCCTATCTACCGCGCGCAAGGATGAATGTACAGGAATGTGCCTTTCTACGCGGACACGTACTTTTTGTTTTCTCTACAAGAATGTGCTTAATATTCTGAGGGGAGTACCTTATTGCACGAACGGGTATATGCTGGTCGCTGTTGGATGAGAAGGACGAGATTAAAAAACCCACAGTCACAGTTACTCACCATCATTATTACGGATTAGTCGTAAAACACGATTTGTGAGCTAAGGAGCTAAGGAGCTAAGGGGCACGACCTAGAGTTTGCTACGTGGGAACCCATCTTCCTGGCAAATGAGAAACGCTGCATCACCGGAACTTGCAGGAAGCCTCTTTGCCAGACTCGCCGTCCACCACCAGCACCACCAGCGCGGAGCCCAGTTCCGGAAAGAAACAAATGCTACTTCTCGACGAAGCAGTTTAATCTCAGAAGCACTGCGGGGGTGGGGGGGGGGGGGTCTGCGTGAACACTAGCTCCTCAGTTAGTGGCCTGGGGAGATTTCCGTGGCAGTGAGGGGATTCCCGCTGAGGGGCGTGAACCAGGAAGGCAGCATTTTGAGGGGGGCGGCAGTGAGGACATGGCAGAAAGGGGAGACAGAAAGAGAAGTGCATCCGTTCAGCCTCGAGGACAGACAGACGGACCTCCGCCTTGATTTCCTCTGCACCTGACTTGTGTGCCGTAAAATGCGGAGGCCTAGGAGAAACTGGGGCTCCTGGTTAGGGAATCCCCCCCTCCACCCCCCGGCGGGACCTCGGGCCCCCAGAACAGCAATACAAAGATCAGTTGTGCTTGCGGCAGTTTTCCACGGAGGGAGTGAGAGAGCTGGGCCCTCTGGAATGATCGCTGTTGGGCCAGGTGTGATCCGAATGGCCTGGCCGGACGGGGCGGGGGTGGGGACAGGGAACCACGGGCCACAGATCGCTGGAGCTGCAGCTCTGGGAACAAGGATGCAGGTCCTTGGGGGGGTGTTTGTCCAGCTGCCTCGGGAAGGATAAACGAAAAAAAAAAAAAAAGAAAGGACGAACTCCGCTGGCTCCCCGCTGCTTAAGAGCAAGCTCTCCCTGGAAATCCCCTTTGTACAAAATGCCCTTTTCACGTGTACAGAGCAGCGTCTGACGAACCAAACTGCCTGCAAAGCCCGAGATGAGAGTCACGGAAAAGCCACGAGGTGTGGGGCCACGCCGCATCACACTCTCGGGCAGGGTACAAGGGGTCGGCACACAGTCACAAAGGCTGGTTGCTTGATGCTTATGGGGCCCGGACTACAAAGGTCGCCAGCCTACAGCTGCTGGAGCCGGCGGTATCTCTGCCCCGGGCGGGGCCCACCGGGGGCGTGGCTGTCCCCCCCTTCCTCGCACGGTGATGGTGTCTGCACTCGCCGCCACTCGAGGTAGGTTGAGATAGACGGTATCTTCAGACATCAAGTGGTGGTCACGGTCAGCCGGGTCGGGGGGTGAGAGTGTCGGGTCGGCGAGCCGCCAGACACCCCTAGATGTAGGCCTCTTTGCTGGCCGAGCCGCTGGCCTGGGGCTGCTCTGGACCGTTCTCGGGACGCACGATGTCTTCGCTGGGCTGGATCATGACCTGGATGCGCTGCGGGCACCAGGGAGAAGCTGGGCTGGGAGGAGGAAGGCCGGCCGCCCCCCACCCTCTTTTCAGGTCTATCCTGCGTTCAAGTGCACCCAGATTCCAGCCCCCCCCCCAACTTTCCCATGTTCCCACCCGGCCCGAGTAGCATCTGTCACATTTGGGTACTATAATAACCCCCCACTGGCCCCTCTCTTTGCTGCTCCCCTCCGTCCCTGCCACTTACTTCACTCCAGCCACACTGGCCTCCTCACCCGTGTCAAACATGCACCTGCCTCAGGGCCTTTGCACTTGCCCTGTCTGGTACATCCTTCCTTTCAGATAATTACACAGTTCAAGCTCTACCTCCTTAGGTCTTGGCTCAGTGTCACCTTGTCAGCAAGGCCTCACTCAGCACTCCCCAAAACCCCTTCCTACGTTATTTTTCTCCACGGTACTTGTCCTCATCTAACATGTTTTAATTTTGTTAATTGTTGGTCTTCCTCTACTAGAACGTAAGCCCCACGAGGGTGGGATTTTTGCCTGTTTTTCTCATGGCAACTGTGTCTCTGGCCCTGATACTACTGTCTGTCACATAGTAGGTGTTCAATTCACATTTCCTGAGTGGATTTCCCACTACCTTCTCTACACGTGTGCCCTTCTCTCAATCCTGCCCCTGCAGTTAATGCGCTGTCCTCAGATGTGCCCACCCCCGGGCCTTTGCACAGGCTGAGCTGCCCTCCAATGCACCGCCGTTGCTTCTCCGCCACTCCAAGCCCTGACCGCCTTCTGGGGGCTCAGCAGAGGACCGTGGGAAAGGAAAGCATTGGGCCTGGAGCCGGCAGGAGGGGCTGCGGGCCTCAGCTCTTCGAAGGACTTCCTGACTTACTGCCAGGGGTGGGGAAGCAGTTTCCCCGCCTGATCTCAGTTTCTCCATCTGCGGCTGGAGGAGGCCGGCCCAGGGGCTACACACAACCCCCCCCCTTGTCTTTGTTAGGCCATAGACCACAGCACCCCCTCTTCTGCTCTGACTGGTCTCGAAGGTCCACTGACCCCAGGCCCTGCATTCTGATCATCACCCCTCCGCAGTGAAATGTCCTTGGCGCCCACTTCCTGCCTCGATGTCTCTAGCGCCTGGGTACCCCAACATGGGCTTGTTCCACTCGAGAATTCGATTTAACTTAACAAAGAGCTGGCATGGACCTCGAATGTGCTAGTAGGCCCCGGCTGAGGGCAGCGTGCCTCCCATTATCTGTCCTCCAGGGTCAGACCAGGTTTTGTCTTTATCAAGCGCACAAAAGAGATCTAGGGTAAGCCCTCGATACATCTGACCCTACCCTTCACCTGCTTTAAACCCCTGAGGCTCCCCTTTGCCCTCAGGATAAAGTCCAAAGTTCTTGTCCTAATTTTCAAAGCCCGTCATGAGCCTGACCTTCTTACATCCCCAACCTCATCTCTTACCATCCCCTCTGCAGCCCCCTCTACCCTCCGGCCACAACGATCTCCCTTCAGTTCACCAAATGCAGTTTATACCCCTGGGCCTTTGCACATGCTTCCTTCCCATCCCCTTCTAGGAACATTCTTTCTGCTCCTACTTTAACTCCGGCTCATCCTTAGGCTTCTTCTTAGCTATCTTCTCTTTCAAGAAGCCTTTCTTAACCCTCCTCAACCCAGGCAGGGCTAACCCATCTCCCTGGTTTACCCAAATCATGCTGCTTCTAATACCCTACTGTCACTGGAAACTGAGTTGGCTATTTCCCAACTAGACTGTGAGCTCTGCAAGCATAGTGGGCTGTGCCCAGCATAGTAGGGGCAGGGGACGAGCAATCTAAATGGTGCAGAAGGGCTTACCTGCTTCAGAGAGCCCTTTAAGGTGAGGAACATGTAGGCCATGTAACCGGGGATGAGGACCATGGAAGACAGAGCCATGAGCCAGCCGACGCCCTGGCCCCATTTGGGGAAAACGTAGTTTCCCATGGTGAGAGGAGTCATCTGCACAGCACTGAAAATGAACACACCCTGGGGAGGGTGGGGGAGAGCGGGTGGCGGGCCGTCGGTCACCCGGACTGGACGATCCCGGCCTCTTCCCAGACCTGAAGCTGATGGGTCCACGGACCGCCTCCCTTGCCATGAGGCTGACTCTCGTAAGGGCCCAGCATCTTGGGAATCCTGCACCCAAGGCCGCTGCTGGTACCTAAGACACCTTTGTCCCCTTCGGAACCCACAGAAAGCGGCACCCCTTTCACGAGGACCAGCTTGAAGCTGGTGCCCTCTCTGGAAGGCCCAACAGAAAAAGGGACCCCTTCTGGGAGCACCAATAGAAAAAGGCCTCCATCTTCCAAGAGAAGCAGCTTGGCAAGCAGAATGAGGACTGGACGTCAGCCTCTAGTCGGCCATCAGCTGAGTGCCTTCTGCAGGACACGACACAGGCAGTGGCCTGACCCCCCTGACCCCCCGCAAGGACTGGGGCAGCCTGCCTCGGCCTGCCCCTGCCTCAGCTTCCTCCTGCCTAGGGCACGAAGGATGTGCAGAATAAGAGGCCTCCCCGAGCCCAGGGCTCGAGCTTCAGAATCAGGCGCATCCGGCCTGAACGCAGTACCAGCTGGCCGGGTGGAGCTGGTGGCCTGGGCCCGGGCGCCTCAGCGGTAAGGCCGGGGCAAGGATGCCCACGTGGCCGAGGGTTGTGAGGGCGGTGTCACCCACCACGGTGCCCCGCGTAGCACAGAGCAGGCGCTCGGCCGGGAGGGGGGTGGCGGTAGTATTATTCGGGAATGGGCCCCGCTGCTTCCGGCAGTTTCTCTTGGGACCTGAGTCGCCCCAGGGCCTGGTCCGGCCTCACGCGGACGTCCTTACCGCCACAATGATGGGGGTGAAGAAGGACCAGCAGAGTTTCCACCAGATGCAGGGCCTGGAGCCGACCATCTCTTGGATGTTGTCGTAGAATCGGTTGACACCTGGGCCATTTGGACAAGAGCAGCAGGGATGAGTGAGCTCAAAGCCCCAGCCCGGCCCCTCCGGGCGGTCTGACCACGGGCAGGTCACCTGACGTCCCGGACCCTCGGCCCCTTGTCTGCAGCAGGGGGCTATATCGCTTCTCGGCCTTTCGGCTACGATCAAGTGTGGAATAAGGGGCTCTGTCTCCGGGGGGGTCCTCGCCATCTCAACAGCCAACCCCCGGCAAGTGGGTCGTGCGGGAAAGCCAGGCACCCTCACGGGAAAACACCCACCGACCAAAGGACATGCGTATGAAGAGGTCCCCGCCTCCCTCGATGTCCCTCCCACCCGACAGCCAGCCTGGCCCTTCCTTCAAGGCTCTGCTGGACGGGGCGTTTTCCTCCGATGATCGGATGCTACAAGCTACGGGTGGCCGACTGCAAAGAACCACCACAAAGCCTACAGAAAATCACAGGCGTCATGGAGTTCCCAAGCCCGACGCTGGGCACTGCCCGAATTCTAAACAAAGCCAGTGACCAGCGAGGGTCTGACAGCGTTAGGCCGGTTGAGGGGGGGGTGAGGGAACGAGGAGGAGGAGGAGGTGGTGAAGAAAGTGGAGGGACCATCAAGGGCTAGGAGGGACCCGGGAAGACAGGTGAGGATGACTCTGGACTGTCCCCTGGCGGGGTCCGGAAGCTCAGGCCGTGACACGAACACATAAAGTCACTGTTTACTCCCTTCCTGGTCTAAGGCAGCACGTACTTTTAATTATAGCCCCATTTTGGTTACGTATTTAACTTTAGAACTTTTGTAGATTTGGTTTCTTTTAAGTAGGCTTCGTGCCCAACGTGGAGCCCAACATGAGGCTTGACTTCACAACCCCGAGATCGAGACCTGAGCTCACGTCATGAGTCGGACGCTTAACCAACTGAGCCACCCAGGCGCCCCCGGTTTTACCTTTCTAGATAAAATCTCAAACCCTCTGATCCCAACATTTATGAAGACATTTTGGCTCCCATTTCAAATAAATTTATCTTCTAAGCAGAGTTTCCTGTGCTAACTTCATCAGACTGCTGTGGGGACTAAGTACAGCTGGCCTTGGAGCATCCAGGTGCGTTGACCCCCAACACGCAGTCAAAAATCTGCAAATAACTTTGGATTCTCCAGAAATGTAACCACCAACAGCTTAGTGATGATTGGAAGCCTTGCCAATAACAAACGGTAGATCAATATGTATTTGGTAGGTTCTATGCATTATGCACCGTGTTTTCACAATAAAGTAAGCCAGAGAAAAGAAATGCGATAATACATTTGCAGTACTGTATTATAGTGATGAAAGTATCAGAAAAAACACTGTCCTATATTTATACACAGAATAAGGAGACCGGGTGGTTCCAACCCGGGTTGTTCAAGGGTCAGTTGTGAACTAATGTATAGAAAGGGCTTGGTGCTCAAGTTGTATTTGCTGAATGATAATTGAAGAAAGGACTAACTGACTGACGGACTAAATGAACGAACGAACGAACGAACAAATGAATGAATGAATGAATGAATGAATGAATGAGGGAGGGTAGGAGGAAGGAGGGTGGACACTCACCGTAAAACCAGGAAATGGAGACACATTCGAAGAAGACGAGGAACAGCAGGCTCATGCCGCTGGCAGAGTAGTAATCAAACAGCTTGAAGACATAGATGCCTCCCTGAGAGAGGAAAGGCAGTGAGAACGGATCCACTTCCGGCCAGAGCCCAGGGCGCTCAGCTCACAGCCCACACGGCCAGGAAGGTGTTAGACAACGCTGCAAGGAGAAGGCTTAAGGGAATATTAAAAGAAGCATCAAGGGCCTATGTGAGGAGGTGATCACCGCATCTCTGGGAACTGGGAAGGAATGTCTGGGGAAGAGAAACGTCCCCTTCCGGGCAATGCTGGCGGGAGAGGAGCTGGTCATCAGAGCCACCTCTCCACACGGTTGATCAGTTATGCCCTTTCCCTGCTTAAAGCTTTCCGTGGCTTACAGAAGACGTAACTACAACACATCAAGAGTTGAGAGAGATTAAAATTCCATACCATTCCATACTACACCATACCACACCACACAAAATACAAACGGCTCTGGCCTGCAAGGTCCTGTATGATCTCGTTCTGCACTCCCGACCTGTCTCCTCACTCCCTCTGCTCCTCAAACTTCCCCAACCCACGCCCACCTCAGGACCTTAGCACCTGCTGTGCCTTCTTCCCCCCGCTCCATCTTCCCCTGGCTGTCTCTTCCTTATCATTTGAGTCTCAGCTCAACTGCCACTTCCTCAGAGGGCCCTCTCCTGACTACTCGGAGGTGGCATTCCTCCACCCTCACTGGTCATTCCCTCTTTTCTTCATGGCAATGAACACTCTCTGAATGATCTAATTTGTACATCAGTCTTGTCCATCAGAGTGGAAGCCCCAAGAGAGCAGACACGGTGTCCGTCACGGTGACTGCTGAATTTCCAGTGTCACGTGAGGCCCGTGGTGAGTATGTAACAACTATGGAGGAATGAAGGAACAAATGAAGGATGTTCTGGGAATGAAGTGTATTTGAATCCGCGGGTAGTTCTGCGCATCATAAAGCAGACCCGCAGGGTGGAGCTCATGGCTTTAGGGTCATTTACATTTATTGTACAATTCATCGGCGACATGTACACCTTCTGACTAGACCAGAAGGGCCTTGAATGCAGAGAGGAGTGCTCATTAATATCAGTAGAAACAGCAAAGTGGGACCAAGAGGAAGAGACAGTGTCAAGGTCAAAGGCTCAACTCCAGCTCGACTCTCCCGTTAATGTTTGTGAGTTTTTAAAAACACAGTCCCTGTATCCCTTCCTCCAGGAAGCAGTCCCGGGGCCCCGGGCTGGGCCAGGGCCTGTATTCTCTAGCTGTCTTGTATCATTTCTAGCTCAGTGTGTGTGTGTGCCACCCTCCCACCCCGCAGGCAGGGACGCCTTCCTGCTGTGTGTGCTGGGCTCGGCACAGAGATGGTGCTCAACGAACAGACTGAGGGTGAGACACCATGAGGCTGGGGTGGGGAGGACCTGGAAGTGGCCACCCCAGAGGTGTGCCAGGGGCCCGGCGAGCTCACCTGGGTGATGTTAGAGAGGCCGATCAGGTAGGAGACGATGCAGACGGCAGCGATGAAGAGCTCCCTGCGGTTGCGGAGGAGTCTGGGGTACTCGTCCACCAGGGCCGTGATGAAGCCCTCCACGGTGCAGAACTTCAAGCGGGGCAAGGGTCAGCCACGCGCCGCAGACCTCAGCCCAACCCGTCCGAAGCCTGACTATCTGGGGCACGACCCGAGGGGCCCGGCAATGTCGGGGCCCCAGGATCCAGGCCTGCCTCTGCCTCTCTTTGTGACCCTTCCCTCTGGACATCAGTTTCCCCATCTGGAAAACGGGGAAAGCGGAGGAGCTGATCCCTAAAGTCTCATGTGGCGGAACAGCTAGGGGTCTGAAACTCCTGACCATCTTCCTGGAGAACTAAGACAATGGCCACCTCTCCCTGATTCCCCCTCCCCTCCAGAGCCGCAGAGCTGGCTGGGGGCTCCCCCCAAAGGGCCGGGGAGGGCACCCTCACCTGGCTGTCGATGCCCAGCATCAGCAGCATCGAGAAGAAGAGGATGGCCCAGAGGGGAGAGATGGGCAGCTGAGTCACCGCCTCTGGGTACGCCAGGAACGCCAACCCGGGGCCTGTGGAGGGCAGGGCGAAAAAGAAGAAAGGTGCTGAGCACCTACTGCATACCCAGCACACCACCCACTTTCTAAGCTTTTCTGCATTTCACCTTCAGAGTAACCCTCTGGGTGAGTGCCGTCAGCCCCCCTTTTCCTAGGTGAGGGTACCGAGTGCGTGTGGGCAGCGGAGGGAGTACGGCTGGGTCTGGAGGCCAGGGTACCAGGGAGATGAAATGAGGGACCGTGGTGGCCTGGCCCGTGGTGGGGACAGTGCAGGTGCAGAGCGGTGACCACATGGAGGAAACGAAAGGCGGTGGGGACGGGCAGGTCCTGGTACTGGCTGGTTTGTGGAGTGGAGGTGAAGGAAGGGCTCAGGGTGATTCCGGGGCTGCCCTGGCTACTGGATGGTGGCACCTTGTGGGAGCACAGGGAAGGAGAAGGCTTAAAGCCATCAATTTGGGGCATACTGCGCTTGAGTGTCTGGGTCGGGGGTAGTCAAGAGATCAGGGGGAACCTCGGAAGGAGAAGGAAAGAAACTGCAATCTTCCTGGGTCTGGCTCAGGAAAGGGGGGTGGTGGCTGGGGCGGCCCAGAGAAATGAGCTGGCCATTGTAGGGAAGATGAGGACATCAGTGGAGAAAGTTCCTTTCCACATGACCGGCCCAGTTCTCCATGATGGAGGAGATGTCTCCCTGAGGCCCAGGGCCTCCGCTGTGAACACAGCGGGTCCCTCATCTCACTGCTCTCTTGGCTGAGTCGGGAGGCGAGGGCTGCCTGGGCTTCTCCCGGGACCCTGCGGCATTGATGACCCGTGTGGTGAACAGAGCAGGTACAGCCCGCTTGGTGAGGACATGTTTGGACGTGGGACCAAAGCAAAGACTGAGGCACGTTGTGTCATGCCGGTGAGCACATCTGAGCTGGAAGAAGGTTTATATCCCAGGGGGCAAGAGTCTGCCTTCTCCCTGCAGAAGGCAGCCTTGGGCTGGAAGACCCAGTATGGTCAGGCCATTAAGGGCCCAGGCTTCTTGATCAGCCAGGTCTATGTTCAATTCCAAGCCCACCGTTTTTCTAGCTTGATGAACATGGTCCATGAGCCTCAGTTTCCCCACCTAGTAAATGGGATAGCAGAAGCATCGACTCCAGGGTGTTGGAAAGGTTCAGAGATGCTTTGCAGCTAAAACGCTCCGTGCTCTGCCTGGCACATCGTGATGCCCAGTGCCAGGGAGCCCACACACCCCACTCATCCCTGACTCCAGGCCTTCGCACTGGCTCTTCCCTCTGCCCGCGTGCGTGTCCCCCGCCGCCCTGCTGCTGGTGACGATGACGGCCACAGACGCCGCGCCCTATCCCCTCCCACCCCAGGAGCCCCGGGCCTCAAATGGGCGGCCCGAACCTGAGGCCGCCACATCAGCGATGGACCTCTTGGTGACATGGGCCATGAAGCCCACGATGGAGAAGATGACAAATCCTGCGAACATGCTGGTGCACGAATTGATGCAGCAGACGATGATGGAGTCCCTGCGGGGAGGAAAGGGCGGAGCCAGTGAGGGCGGGGCTGGCAAGGAGGGGAGCTAGGAGCCGCGTTAGGAGGGATGAGGGCTGAGGGGCAGGCAGAAAAGGGACTGCTGGGCAGGTGCCCCCACCCCATCCCAGGGAAGGGGTGGAACAGGAAGGAGTGGCCGGAAAGGAATTCGCTTAGTGAGGAGTGGAGTTGAAAGCAGAGAAAGCCAGGGGCGCCTGGGTGGCTTAGTCGGTTAAGCGTCCAGCTTTCGCTTAGGTCATGATCTCGCGGTTCGTGGGTTCGAGCCCCGCGTCGGGCTCTGTGCTGACTGCCAGCTCAGAGCCTGGAGCCTGTTTCAGTCTGTGACTCCCTCTCTCTCTGACCCTCCCCTGCTCACGCTGTCTCTCTCTCTCTTCTAGAAATAAATAAAAATATTTAAAAAAAAAAAAAAGAAAGAAAGCAGAGAAAGCCCAGGGGGCGTGGTCTGTACGGGGGCGTGGCCACGCGCGGGCTTGCGTCAGAGGGGCGTGGCCGGGAAGGAAGGGGCTCTCGCACCTGTAGACGTTGTTGTGGAAAGAATTATAGCTCCCAAGGGCGATCAGGGATCCCAGGCCCAGACCGTAGGAGAAGAAGATCTGGGTTGCCGCATCCAGCCACACCTATAAGTGGGATGGTCAAAAGAGTCAAAATTATAATCATTGCCACAGTGCCCCAGGGCCTTTGACATGCGGTGGCCAGCCCCACCTGGCAACCAGCTTGGCTTCCACGAGGGTCAGAGAGGTGCGGGAACTTTCCATGACGCTGGTAAATGGTGGCTCCCCTTCACCCAGCCGGAGGGGGCGGGGAGCCCAGGGAGGCGCTCACCTCCGAGTCGGACAGCTTGCGGAAGTTGGGTGTGATGTAGAAGAGGATGCCCTCCTTGGCCCCGGGCAGCGTGACCCCACGGAAGAAAAGGATGATCAGCATGATGTACGGGTAGGTGGCGGAGAAGTAAACCACCTGGCGGAAAAGTTGGCAACGCGGTCGTCACACCCCCTGCAGCGCGCCCAGTCGTTCCCTGCCCCCACGTCTCCTATTTCAGGATCCGCTGTGGCCTTCCAGGTCAACCCCCTCCAGGAAGCCTTCCTGGATTCCTAACCGGCTGTGTTTGTCCACTTTTCTGAAGCCTCTCCTTGGAGTGCAAACACACCAGCTCAGCACATGGCTTTTCCTTTCCCCGACCCTCCTTTATTTTTTGACTTCTGTCTAAATGTGTTCAAGTAAAATACGCTGTCAGGAAAATTTTACACACACACACACACACACACTTAGAGTTCCCTTCAACAGCGTCTAGAATTTAAGTTACACGAAAGAGAGGGCTTGCCTTGTTCACTTTTGTTTCCCCAATGCCTAGACTAATCCGTGGTATACAAGAGACACTCAATAAATGCCTAATACATAAAAGCACGAAGGTGAACATTTTAATGTTCCTCTTTTGAGACTCTGATTTGCACGTATGATCACATACTCTTTTTAAAAGTGATGCTCAAATTGTGTACTTGAATTTTCATTTAACACGTTTAAAATTAAAAAACACAATACGTACTTTATTTCTTTGTTTACTAAAAACTGTTTTATTGTCTCTTAACAATAATTATGCAAAATAGCCACTCAGAAGGTTCTACCATCCTTTTTAAGGGTTCCCCTACTGTTAATCATTTATGTGAATTTCCCTAATACTTTCTAATGAACTTTAAGTGAATCTCACTAATACAACACTGGACACCCTGTATATATGGGGCGCCTGGGTGGCTTAGTCGGTTAAGCGTCCGACTTTCGCTTGGGTCATGATCTCGCGGTTCGTGGGTTCGAGCCCCGCGTCGGGCTCTGTGCTGACAGCCAGCTCAGAGCCTGGAGCCTGTTTCAGAGTCTGTGATTCCCTCTCTCTCTGACCCTCCCCTGCTCATGCTGTCTCTATCTCTCTCCTAGAAATAAATAAAACATTTAAAAAAAAAAAAAAACTTTGTCTCCAAAATTATTATACCACTCTTGGGAACATTTTCTAGGAGGAGAATTCCTGACGAAAAGGGGATAAACCTCTCAATGGCTCGTGATCCGTATTTTGCTCAATTACCTTCCAGAAACGGGCCTTGATTCAGCATTTCAGGACGCACCTTCCCCACATAGGTGCCAGCACTGAGTATAATCATTAAAAAAATATGTTTTCCCCCCAAACTGATCGTCAAAAGACTGACGTCACGTCTGAGATTACATTTCTCGGTCCGCGGTTGTAAAAGGGCAGTTTTCAAGTTCAATAACCCTTGTATGTCACAGCCTCACGTGGCCCTATTTTCTGGTCAGCACGAGTTGTGCCCCAGGTTAGTTTCATTTCCCCGAGATTCTTCAGGGTTAGGAAAGGCAGCCATAATCCACTCGAAAAGCCACTGTACTAGGAATTAGGAAAAGGGAATTTGAAGCCATCTGTGGCACCTGTGAGCTGTATGACATTGGATCAATTTCTTACCCTCTCTGAGCCATGATTTTCTTGTCTGGAAAATGGGTACAATCAACCTATCTACTCAGAAAGGTCAGTTGTATGAGGATACACAATATGCTTAATATATAGTGCTTAGGTCTTACACTTTAACCTGTCTTCCTTGTTCAGAATGAGTTAGGTATACACTAGATGCTTAATAAATGTTTACGGATGGACTGGATGACTCGCTCAAAAGACAACTGACACCATGTATTGTCTCCATGGCATACAGCATGTGGTGGGTAGGCATATGCTACATACTCTGCATGGATTATTCTCCTCAGTCTTTATGACGACCCTGTAAGGTACTATATTATTGTATTCATTTAACAGATGAGGAGACTGAGGCACAGAGAGGTGAAATGACTTGCCCAAGCACCCATAGCTAGGAATCAGGGGACTGCGACTCAAGCTCAGCTCTATTTCTTCCAGTGCCCTTAGGCCCTACATTCTTCTGTTTCTTCAAATTGGGATGGGGGACACCTGTGGCCTCCTCCTGACTGCCCAGCTTAGGGACACATCCCAGAGGTTTTGACACTGGCTTTGGGACTGAGAGCCTGGAAGGTCCAAAGGTCCCACCAGCCTGGAACTGGGGGCGGGTTTCATCACCTGTACTCACGCCCAAGCACGGACTCTGCTGAGGTTCTGTTTTGCTCCCGTCAGCGTGGGTAGTCTGGACCTCCCTGCTGTTCCCGGATTTTCAAATCCCTTCTCTCCCTTCCTTGCCGCAAAAACTCAAGACAGCCTTTAAGTTCCCTTCAGGCTGGGGCCAGTGACAGCCTGAGCCACCTCTGTCCCTGGACTCCTGGGGTGGGGCTTTAAGGGCAAAGGAATGGGAGTGAGGCCAGTCCTCCCTAACTTGGGTGGCAAGCTCCTCACATGTCCCCAGCCTGGACCTCCTCGCCACCCCCCACCCCCTGAACTTGACCATAATAAAAACAAAACAAGTCCAACTCCTCTCATCAGCTGCTGAGGGCTTTACAAAATCACCACTCCATTTGGTTTTCATAACAAACCACCAGATAAGCCCTATTTTTCAGAGGAGGAAACGGAATTTCAGAGCAGTGAAGTGACTGGTGTGAGGTCACCTAGCCAAGCAAACAGGGACGTGGGGATTTGAACTCAGGACTGTTTCAGAACAGGGCGTGGGTACCTAACCATTCCTTGGTCCATTTCTGTGGCTCCTCAAAGGCTGGGATGTGGAAATATCATCTCTGGATCACCCACGAGGCTTGTTCACTGGTCCCGGAGCCAAGTTTACCACCTGCTTTGCCGTGGCTCCGTGTAACTGTCTGACTTGCATTATTGGATCTAATCCTCACAACTGCCCAGGAGGTAGGCAGTGTTACCATTCCCATTTTACAGGAAAGGAAACCGAGTCAGGGAGAGATGAAGAGAACTGCCTCACTACAAGTCCGACAGGGTTCCTCGCGGTGCACACTCCTTGCAGAGATCCCCCAGGGGACCTGTCCCCTTCTGGTCCCCACTGTGCACAGGCCTTACCTTTCCAGTCCAGCCAACACCTTTCCAGATACAGAAATACACAAGGATCCAGGCGATGGCCAGGGTGATGGCCAGGGGCCAGCGGATCTGGCCTGGCTTATCCAGCCCGTCTGTCATCTGATGCATATTCCGCCTGGTGGAACAGTGGAGGGGAGCAGAAAGTCACGCGGGAGCTGGAGTGACCCGGGGGTACCCAGGGATTGGACACGGGTGACACCCTCCAGTGTGACTGTGCTGGCATCTGTGATTACGGAGATCGGGGGCTGGCTGGAGACCGGGGTCCATTATACTCCTCGGCAGAGAGTGCTCTTTGCTCAAGGGAGCCCTAGTCTGGCCGCCTTATTGCTCACCTGTTACCCTCACCTTCACTTTTGCTCTGTCCCCACTCCAGCCCCAGAGACCCTTCTAAGTGGTCTGTCTGACCGTGTCCCTCCCCTGCTTAAAACCCTACAGCGGAGAGCTCCTTACTTCCTCAGAATGAAGTCCAACCCCCCCAGGCTGCCCTTGCGAGGGCCTTCGGGGCTGGCTCTACTTCTCTCTCGTCTCGGCTCTCCCTGAGCCCTTCGAACGCCTGTCAGACTGGACGGCTCCCCTCCCCTCCTCTGTGGCTGGCTTGTGCTCCCCTGCGTCCAAGCCTTTGTGCATTCTCTTCCTCCTGCGGACGCCTGTCTTCCCTACGTGGTTTTCATCCTCAGATGTGACTTCCTCCCTGGGCTGGTCCACGTACCAACCGGGGCCCCTCCAGCCTCCCGCGCATCCCCTCCTCCCAGCCCTGCGCATCCGCTGTTACCGCTGCCTGTTTGCTTCTGTTTGCCAGGCCCCTAACCACGCCGCATGCAGTAAGTGCTCAAGAAATGTCGATTGAATAAATGGATGAATGCAACCGTGAATGGGTGTGAGAGACTTGTATGTGGCAGAGGCCGGAAGGAAGCGGCAGCCGAAGAATCTCATTTCTGTTTGTGAGGAGATGGGCTGGCCAGGGACGTTTCTGCACAAAGACCAGAGTCATGTACTCTGACACCTAAGAACAGCTCCTCCTGGCAGCTTCTCCAAGGTGCCAGGGAACCTTCCAGAAGGCTCCCGGACCCTTGCAAGCCACCCAGCGCAAATGCCTCCTTCATGCCCAAGAGATCCCTTTCTGTAAAATCAATACCCCAATACACATCTGAGACGTGTTCTCCTGAGGATACAATCAGCACGGCTTTCCGTGTGTGTGTGTGTGTGCGCGCGCACGCGCGCGTGTGTGAGTGTGTGCATGTGCCTTTATTCCAAACAACTCTGGGTTTCTAAGTGGATGGGGCGGGTTTTCAGGATGAGCTGGGATTTTGTTGGCCTCCCCTGGCCACTCTCCTTGGCCTGTGCTGGCTCCTCCCTTCTGGTGGCTCACGCTTCACCCCTGTCCGTTCTGTTCTGTTCTGTTCTGTGCACTCAGTCTCTGTACTGCAGTGATTCGTTCTCCCCGGTTTGTAACGAGTGGCCCATCTCTCTATGGGGAGAAAGGGCTTCGCTGCCCCCTGCTTCTCTCTGTGCCCCGCGCACACCGCCGGCTCCCAGCTCCCTCTGCAGGGCGCCTCTGTCTCCTGCCGGCCCTGGCTGACGGCCCCCCCGCCCCCGCCGATGTCGCCACACTTACTCCCAGAACTCCACCACGGCGCTGGTCATGTTGGTGGTGTTGACGATGCTGTAGTTGGAGAAGCAGCGGTCTGTGTTCCACGGGTTGTCACACTGTTTCCATGGCAGCGTCTGCAAAGGCACAGGGGCACCGACAAACCCACCTGAGCCCCCCGGAGATGGCAATGGCGGTCCCGGCACGCTTCGTCCATCCTCACGGCCCCTGAGCCTCCTCACAGCCACCCGTTAACTCGCTGCCCTTCCCGACAGCTCTCAGATGCAGGGCATGCCGAGAGCCTCATTTTAGAGATCAGAGAGGGGCAGTAACTTGTTCGAGATCACACAGCTCCTAAGGGCCAGAGCTGGAACTTGAACCTTGATCATTTCCCTCTGGAAACCCGCTTTCCAAGCTGCACCACGATATCTTGTGTGTTCATCTGGGGGCCACTTCCTAGCTTGTGACCTTGGGTAAGAGATCTTGCCTGCCTGACCCTCTGCACACAGATGTTAACAGCGAATACTTAACAGCATCTGTTCCTTGTGAAGTACGATTCTAAGCCTTTTGCACATATTTACTCCTTAGTCCTCACAACAACTCTACTAGGCCGGCCTTATTTTTCACCCTCATTTTATAAATGAGGGCACCGTGGCTCAAAGAGGTTAAGTTTCTTTCTCGAAGTTGCACAGCTGGTATATATAGCGGGCAGGATTGGAACCCAGGTGGTCTGGGTCCATATGAAATGAGCTAACAAAAGCCGCCTTAAGAAGGGTGTCCAGAGGAGCAGATGTTAGCCCACACGAAGCACATGGCTCAGTGGCTGGCTCGGAGTGGGTGCCGGTTCACGGGGCTACAATTTGTAGGGGACCAGGGGCCACTGAACACAAACCACCCCCCCTCCACCCCCCCTCCCAGGAATAGCCCTGCCGGCAAAATGGCACTCCCTGGGTCTGGCTCCTCCCGGAGGGGGGGGGGGGGGCGATCCGAGGGCGCACTCACAGTGGTGAAGGAGTTGTACAGGTAGTAGATGGCCCAGGAGATGATCACGATATAGTAGATGTTCAGCCAGAATGATAGCACGGCGGCCGCGAGGCCCACACCTGGGAGCGACAGCAGCACGATCTTTGTTTAACAGAACGATCGTAGTAACTGGCCAGTGGGTGCCATGCTTCTCATTTTCCATGGTACCCACCAGCTCACCGGCCCCTGGAGACAGGTGTTATTGAGGCCTGGAGACTAAGAGAGAGGCGGGAACTTAGCTAGGGTCACACACGTCTGGCAAGTGGGGACTTGGCTCTGGGGCCCGGCACGGGCTGGTTACAGGTGGGACGGGGTCTGGGTTTGCCAGGCAAGAATGATTCTCCACGTATCCATCTGGTGTCAGGCACTGAGTATGGAAGCAAAGAAAATTGTACCAGCCCTGGCTGGGGGAATAAGCTCGAGGGACAGTAGGCTGGTGGGGGCGGAGGCGGGGGGGCTCTGGGCTGGGTGCTCCTGTCCACCACCACCGCCCTAGATCATAGCCGGTGCCGCCGTCTGTCACCACCCCTGGCGAGGGCTCCACTCTGCTCAGAAGTGAACCAAGCAGGTCCCTCTTGCCAGTGGGGCCGGGGGCGCTGGGAAGGCCCTGATTTCACCAAGGATCTGTGAGCAGGGGTCCCGCCACATGGCCCCCCACCGTGCAGACTTACCCTTGAACATGGGGGCCAGCTTCCACACCCCCAGGCCCCCGATGGACGTGTACTGACCCAGGGAGCACTCCAGCAGGAAGAGAGGGACCCCCGCAAAGATGAGGGTCAGGAAGTAGGGGATCAGGAAGGCCCCTGTGGGGTTGAGGAGAGAGACACTCATGGCCCCAAGGCTTTGGAGGAGCCGCGGGCAGAGGGGGCATCGGGGCAGGGCACTCTCGGGCTGCAGTGATGACATCCGGGCCCCCAGCCTCAGAAGCAGCACCACAGCCACACTGAGGCCCGAGGATGGCCTTCGCTCTAACTACGTCCCTCGTTCTTGGCAAATCGAAGGGGTGAACTTTTTGGTCTTGCTAACAAAGCCACCTTTTGGTTAAGGGACAAGAAACAGGAACTGGGGCCGGCTGCCCCTTTTGGAGTCTTTAGGGGCACCTTCCCAGCTGTGACACTCTCCCCCAGCTGTGACACTCTCCCCCAGCTGTGACACTCTCCCCCAGCTGTGACACTGTCCCCCAGCTGTGACACTCCCCCCCAAGGGGTCCAGACCCGGCTGGGCAGTTTCCGGGCCAGCACCTACCACCTCCGTTCTTGCCGCAGAGATAGGGGAATCTCCAGACGTTGCCCAGGCCGATGGCGTAGCCCACACAGGACATGAGGAAGTCGAAGCGGCCCTTCCACGTGTCCCGGTCTGGAAGGTCCGCTGCCTTCTTCTGCACCTTGACCACCAGAGTTTTGGGCTTGTCATTGGCCACAGGGGCCTCGCTGACCTCCGTGGAGATCTGCCCATCGGCCACCTTGCTGCCATTGGTCGCCATGTCGCGGAGTTTGGACACAGAGGTCCTGGCAGATGGACGTGCGATGTCGGCCCCGGTCCACGCGGACAGCAGTTTTGCGGCTCAAGGTCACCCTGGGAGAAGAGGGGGTGGGGTGACAGGCACAGAAGGGCGGCAAGATCCGGGAGTTGCCCCAAAATCACAAAATCACAAACAGCCCGGGAGCTGGAGGAGGCTCGCTCGTAAGGCCTCTTTGTCCCGGAGGAAGGGCCGTGCCCTGTTTCCAGACTTGTGCGTGCAGAGGTGCTGTGTTCGGAGCTCCTGAGCTCACTTCAGACCTGCATCTGCGTCCCACGCCCCCCGTTACGGGTCTTGCTCAGGGAAGAAAACCAAGGAGACCAAATATTCAGACAGAAATATTAAGTGTTCCTCATCTTTGCCTCTTGGTATATGATTAGATTTTTCATTCCCTGAGGTCATAGTAACCATGGCCGATGTAAGCACAACAGAGGGGCTTAACCGTGGGCCAGAACAGGGATGTGACCCGGCCACAGTCGGGGAGTGAAGGTGATACATAAGCACAGACTCTAATCATCATCACAGTCCTCTTTCACGTTTGAGCTGCGTGACTTCGAGAATACTCCTTAACCTCTCTGGGCCCTGCTCTCTCGATCTTTTACATTGAGTTACAATATAGACCCCAATGTTCACAGCAGCGCTATTGACAATAGTCAAAGTACGGAAAGAGCTCAAATGTCCATCGATGGATGAAAGGATAAGAAGATGTGGCCTACAGATACAACGGAGTATTACTGAGCAAGCAAAAAGAATGAAATCTTGCCGTTGCAACTATGTGGAAGGAAGTAGCCGGTTGATGCTATGTGAAATGAGTCAGTCAGAGAAAGACAAGCATCATATGACTTCACTCCTGTGAGGACTTTAAGATACAAAACATAAGGGAAGGGAAGCAAAGAAATTATAAAAAACAGGGAGGGGGACGAAACATAAGGGACTCTGAAATATGGAGAAGAGACAGAGGGGTTGTGGGAGGGGGAGGGGCGAAGTGGGGGAGGGGCATTAAGGAATCGACTGCTGCACTCGATGCTAAATAACTTGGATATAAATAAAAATAAATAAATAACGTATATTAAAAACTGAGTTAGGATAACAGTATGCCCCTCATTGGGTGGTCTGCTCTTTGCTTATTCAGTGAGGACCCCGTGCCTGGCAAATGGTGCAGACCGGCTACCGTTTTCTCAGCGACCCCCGAGCCTGGCTGTGCTTCCGAGGCGTTTGCGAAGCTCTAGAGCGATGCAGAGTCCCAGGCCGCACCCCAGATGCCCCACACCGGAACTTCAAGGGGATGCGTCCTGAACCTGTGCATTTAACAAATTCTGCAAAAGGAGATTCTTAGGCTGGGAGCCAGCCCCAGCCATCAGCCGAAGAAGGACCGCCTGACTCAAGACATTCGTCTGCACCCTGCACTCTCCTTACCTCTCTAGAGTGAGGGTAGAGGGCGGTGTAGGACATTGGACTTGGCCCTGTCCTGGATTCCAATCTCCAGTCTGCCTTTTACAAGCTGAGCGACCCTACGTAGTACTTTTGATCACTCTAGCCTCAGTTTCTCCATCTCTGAGATGGGAGCAATCTTATCGAGCTTGTAGAAGTGTGGCAAAAAGAACCTTTAATGGCTGGAAGAGTACTTTTCACCTGACTGGTTTCCCAAGAGGACCCCATGAACGGTGGTGATCAGTGTGGTTAGGATGTTACCTGGTGGTTTTCGGTGGTGGGTCAGGTCCAGAGCAGCGCCGTCTGCAGCCCCTGGGTGGGAGCCTGCAAAGCAGAGACGAGGAGGGACCCTGGTGAGCTGCCAGGTGGTGGCTAATGGGCAGCCTGGGGGAGAGCAGCACGGGGGCAGGAGCCTCTCTCGGAGGCCCCCGCCCCCCCCCCCCCCCACTGCCAGGTGACCCTGTGAGTCCACGCAGTGCGGTACTGGCCATGGGGCACTGGGAACACGCCGGAAGGGGCCGCTGCCCTCTCAGGACATTGCTTGAGGCCAATGCAAGGGTGTCGCTTCATCGTTTTATCAAAAGGAAGAGAGGTGAGAGAGGACGCAGCTCCTAGGGCCCAACTGGGGGCCAGCGAGCCCAGCTGAGACGTCTCATCCTCCAACCAAACATGCACAAATGTCGTGAGACCGTGTAGGAGCATGAGAGACGGCACCTTGTTTTATGGAGTGAAAAAAGCAGACTCAAAACAGTGTATTTAGTATGGTTCTATTTTAGCCCCCGCCAATCTGTTCATTACAAAAACTCCCTCCAAAACCCAAAGGATATACCCTGAGAGATTCACAGTGATTAGTCTGGAAGAGTGATTTTTGTTTCCCTTTTTGTGCTTTTCTGGATAAAAAAAATAATTTTTTTAATGTTTATTTATTTTTGAGAGACAGAGAGAGAGCATGAGAGGGGAAGGGGCAGAGAGAGAGAGGGAGACATAGAGTCGGAAGCAGGCTTCAGGCTCTGAGCTGTCGGCGCGGAGCCCGATGCAGGGCTCGAACTCACAAGGTGCAAGATCATGACCTGAGCAGAAGTCAGACGCCCAACCGACTGAGCCCCCCAGGCACCCCTGGGCTTTTCTGGATTTTTAGAATTATTTCTATATTTCTACAAAGACATTACAATAAATTTCTAAGTTTCTAGGAAACATTTTTAAGTTAATAAAAATGAGGCAGGATGAATGAACAGAATCCTCAGGGCACACGGGACCGTGTGGAGCAGTGGTCTGAGGACTCTGGGATGGAGGAGGAGAGCCAAAGCGATGTGCGGGCTCCTCCTCCCTCCGCTCTGCCTCGCGGGGGGACCCTGGGTGCTATGCGCCCACCTGACGGCCCCTCCCACGCAAGCCTCGTTACCAAACACCATCGTCTCTTCCTAGAATTCACGGAAAACCAGAGCAGTGTCAGGCAATCGAAACCCTGTTTCTTGTTCTGAAGGCTGACCCACCTTGTTTCGGATGCCTGTCTAGCTCCCGGCTTGGGCCTGGCCTCATCAGAAGGAACTCCAGACTCAGGTCGGGTGACATCCCATCGTCAGGGACGGTAGCCCATCCTGTAGTCTACTGGGAAGTCCTGGGGTATGTGGGGCAGAGAGCAGCGTCAGGAAAGGGGGAGGCTAAAATGGAACCCCTTTTGTAGGCAGGGCTGGTTAGCCATTAACTGTCAAAGCAGCAATGCCCTTTACTGTCCCCATGACCTGCCCTTGTGGGCTCTGGCCACCAGGTTTGTCCACAAGGGTCCAATCACCTTGGACCAGGGCTGATCACCTGACTCTGGCTAGTCACTCAGAGCTCCCTCCCTGGGAATTTGGCGTGAGAGGGAGAAAGAAGACCAGTCTCTCCGGGGAATTGGGATCTCAGGCAGCCAGCTTCTGCCCACCGGTACGCAGAGTGGCCGAGAGAGTGGGTCTGCTGAGAAGGAAGGAAATCAGAGGTCGAGAGATGGATAGAGAGAGGGGCACCTGGGTGGCTCGGTCAGTGAAGCGCCTGACTCTTGACTTGGACTCAGGCCATGATCTCACAGTTTGTGGGCTCGAGCCCCACGGCAGGCTCTGCACTGACAGCACAGACCCCCTGGGGATTTTCTCTCTCCTCTCTCTCTTCTGCCCCTCCCCCACTCACTCTCTAAAAATAAAGAAATAAACTTAAAAAAAGATGGAGAGAGAATCCTGAAAGCGTCTGTCTTTGCCATTCCAGGCTTTCTCAAGACTGGCTACGTCCCTGTGCTTGCAGTTCACAAAGAAGCTGTCGCCTAGTAGTAACATAAATGTCCTGAGTTTGCTCCCCTTGGCTCGGGGGACCCCCGCTCAAGTCTTGAATCTCGGCTCCCCCGCCGCTTGACCAAGTTCTCCGGAAGGCCCATAGCCCACGGGAACAGCCACGTCTGGCCTCCGCCCAGACATACTTGTCGATTATCCGCGGAGAGCCAAAGCAAACCCTAAAATCTACCGCGCTGCGCACTGGGGCTTCAGGCTGCCCCACACCACTCAGGGGGAGACGGACAGAGTGACAGGCAGACAGATGGACAGATGGGCGGGCGTAGCTCTGGCTCGCTCCCGCTAGCCGGTGAGACGGCAGGGGTGTTTAAGGGGGAAATGCGCTGTCTACGTCCTTTGAAGAAATCATTCACCATCAACACGTGGGAAGGTGTAAGGTCGGGAGGAAGCAGGTTCTGGCTCACCACGTTCTGGTTCACCAGGTTTATTCCACTGTCCCCTCCACGAGTGCATTTAGCATCTCCTCGTGCAAAGGTCAGAGAGATCAGAGACCAAGGCTGCGCTCTTCACACGGCCGGAGGCCTCCATGCTATCTTCAGGACTGGGAAAGATCTAGCAAGACGCCTGTCGCTTCCCTCTGAAGGGCCACAGGACTGCATGCGCAGCCTCCTCCTAGGAGACGTGCAAAGTGTGCAGGCAGCAATATCCAGCCACGAAGCGATGTCGCTGGTGCTGCTTTGGGGGTCCCCGTGGAGAAGGCCCTCTGGCGTGCAGGGAGACAGACGGTCGGGTGCCATAGCGGAGACCTGGGCGCCCCTTCACACTTACTAACACTGGGCAAGTTCCACTGCCTTTCTGATCTCATCTGCAAAATGGGGCCATGAAGGGTTAAATGAGATCACGCATGCAGAGCAGGGGGAAGGATACTGGCTGAGAGCGGGCGCTTAGGGCACCTCAGCCATTATCATCATTGTGATTGTTGCCATCTGTGTGCACGGACTGTGGCTCCCCATCTCCGAGTCGCCCTGGGCCGGTCAGAAGCTGGGAGTGGCACTTGCAGAAGCGGCCTCCCTAAAACACCCCAGGGATAGCTTCTTGCCAGTTTTCATCCCTGACCCCAGCGGGCTAACCTGTCGCTCCGACCCTCACGAGAAACAGCCCAGAAAGCACAGGCGTGTGCGGGTTCACAGCAAAGGAATCTGGCTACCTTTCTGGAAAGGCAATGCTCTCCGAGGCCGGGGCCGCCTTCCTGCCCGCTGTTACCTCCCCTTTCCCGAAACATTTGCCCGCAGGGCTGCCCAGCGTCAGAGGGCGGCTCTGCGGGCCCCGTGGCCAGCGCCCATCTGCGGCCCTCCGCCACCTGCGGCGCCGTAGGGGGCGGGGCTGCCTCCACCACCTCGTGACCTGGCGCGTTTTTCCAAGGCCTGCTTCCAGAGCCTTCTGGTGCCTCCTCATCAGGTGACAATATTCTGCGGACTGAGGAGAATCTGGCTACAGGCTCCTCCGTTACCACTTCCCCACGTTAGCTGAATTCCACCCAAGTAACGTTCCAAAGGGCACCGTTAATGTGTGACCACCGTGACCCGTTTTCTGTATTCACCCCCCTGCTCATTCCCTCCTTCCTTCCTCCGGTATTGACTCAGCACGTGCTATGTGCCGAAGTGGGGATCCAACAATCATTTCTAGCACTTTGTATTCTGACCCGGAGTTTGAACCCGTGAACTGACAGGAGGCAGCAGAAAGATTCCATTTTGCAAACATTTACCGAGGGTCTAATGTATACACGGAGCTGGGCCGGATGCTCGGGCTGCAAACATGAACAAGACAAGGTCCTTGACCTTGACAAGGTCACAGCCTAGAAGAAGTCTCTCTGTCGACAGCCAATCACAAGACCCTGTGATAGTGCTGCGAGCCTGTATGAACAAGACGCTGTAGGCCCAGAAGGAATGATTTAATTCAACCAGAGAAGGCATCCCAGCCGAGGCGACGCTGCAACTGGGTTTTGACGGCTGGATAGGGGTTCACCAGGCTCAGAAAGAGGGAAGGGCATCCCAGGTGAGGGGAATGCAGGAACAGAGTAGGGAGGTTTGAACACAGGAAGGTCAGTTTGTGAAGGACCTTGAGAGCCAGGCTGAGGAACTTAGGGGCCGGTTTCAGGGATGCAACGGGGGGTGATAATATGATCAGGTTAGTCTTAGAAAAAAAGACTCACTCAGGCAGGCTCTGGGAAGGAGTTAAAGAGACTCAAGGCAGGAAAGTGGGGAAAATGTTTCCATGAACATGTTCCTTCCTCGATGTGCACTCTGAGACCAAATCCTGAAGCCATTGATAAAAATGGGGCCAAACCAAGCAGAAAGAACACCCCTGCCAATCCCTGAGTGAGGAAATGCTTTATAAGAAAAAAAAAATGTAGTTTGGAAGCTCTTGATCAGAACTGGCAAAACGGGTCAACACTGGCCCTCGGGCTTGTTGTTTTTGGCCCGAACAAAAATTTTTTCCAGTTTGAATTAGAAGCCAGAAATATGACTCTCTAGGATACATTTTTAAACAGAGGGAACAGCAAGTGCAAAGGCCCTGAGGCAGGAATCAGCTTGGCATGTTTGAGAGTCAGCATGGAGGCTGGGCTGGCTGGAGTCCAGTACAGGAGGGAACAGAATTAGAATTAGGCGGGCAAGGGCTGGATCACACAAGGTCTCAGAGACCACAGCGAGGAGTTCACATTTTCTTCTAAACAGGATGGAACAGAGTAGAGGTTTTAAGCAGGGGGGCGGAGGGGAAAATCTGACTTACATTTAAAAGTCTCACTCTGCCTGCCCAGAAGAGGCTGCAGAAGGGAAGGGGTAGGAGCAGGGTGGGGTGGGTGGCTGGGTAGTGCTTATAGAGAGACTGAGAGTCCAGTGAGAGAGGACAGTGACTCGCGTCAGCTAGGGCAGAGGTGGTGTGGGGCTGGCCGGGTTTCTGTTTGGAGGCGGGGCCTGCAGCCCCCTGGCCTGTGCAGATGGAGGGCTGGGGGAAGGGAGTGTGTAGCAGCCGCCGGGACAATCCTCCCTCTGTTCCACTGCA